AAACGTCAGCTTTCCTGCTCCTCTGATGCTGCTTGGCCTGCTGTGTTCATCCAGCTCTACACCCTGTTATCTCAGATTCTCCAGCATCTGCAGTTCCTACTATCTCTGAGACATATGATTGTGACAGGGTCTGAGCTCAGTTTTTACCTGTTGTATGGATAACTCTGTGCAGGCCTCTCGATGTGCACGTTGTGGATCACAATGAATCAACATCCACTGCAGCTCAAACTAAATGAAAGAAAAAACTGTTACAAATTAAACAAAAAGGAAAGCGTAATCCTGATGTTGACTACTCCATTGTATAATATAAAATGCCAATTTTTTTGTTTGTGCTTCTCATACACAGTCATACTTATTCCTACCAGTTCAGGAGCATCATTCATAGAATCCCTAGCGTGTGGAAGCAGGCTGTTAGGCCTCTTGAGTCCACACTGACCCTGCAAAGGACATCCCACCAAGACTCACCCCTTACCATATACCTGCATTTCCAACAGCCAATCCACCTAACCTGCACATCTTTGGAATGTGGATGAAACCCACACGGACTGGGGGAGAATGTGCAAACTCCACACCTGAGGCTGGAATTGAACCTGGGTCCCCAGCACTGTAAGGCAGCATGCTAACCACTGAGCCACCATGTAACAAACATCTGGGACTGTGGCACATATTTTAAGATATTTGGAATAAGCTTGCCAGATGCTAACAATCGACTTCAAAAGTCCTTTCAACAAAGATCTTCACTGTATGATTCTCGTCCAAACACAAAAATAAAACAAAGATTCACGGGTGCTGGCGATCTGAAACAAAAACAGAGATTTCTGGTGAAACGTAGCAGGTGTGGCAGCATTGTAGGGAGAAAGCAGAGTTAATACTTCAAGAATGTTGACTCTTCATCCGAACTCAATCTGATGAAGACTCACCAGACTCGAAACGTTACCCCTGCTTTCTTTCCACATATGCTGCCAGATCTGCTCAGTTTTGCTGGCAATTTCTGTTTTTGTTCTAGTAGAAATATTCTTGCTCTCAGTAGTCTAATAAAACAAATAAACATAAAAAGAAGTTTGTCCAAGTTGTCAAAGCACCAATGTCAAGTGTCAGATCTGTGTCACTAGTTCATCATTAACTCTGTTACTGTTCACAACAATGTACAATAAACATTTTGAAGAGCAGACCCAACTAGTCAGTTTTCCTTGGTGACTAACTGACAAGCTTTTGAAAAAACATCTATTGTATTAATAACCCATCAACTGATCTAAGGCACATTCTTTTGAATGGACTGGTTCAATTGAAAATAATAGCAAGTTTTCATTTTTATTTTCATTTCCAAAAAAAAATCCAAATAGTAAAATGCTACACACCTTTGCATTAAAGAATGGAGCTGTTCCTAACTCAGAGCAGATAGAGAGAAACTGTTCTTGTTGATAAAGAACCAAAAAACAAGATGGCACAGATTGAAGGGAATAGGCAAAAGAAACAGAGTTGACATAAGGAAAAACTCCTTACTACAATATGCGTTTAGGATCTGGAATACATTGTTTCAGAGTATGGTGGAGGCAGGTTCAAATGAGACATTCAAAATGGAATTGGATTATTATCTCAAAAGAAAAACTGTGGTGCAATGTGGAGAACGTAGGGGAATGAAGTTAAGTAAATTGATCGTTAAGAGAATCAGAGCAAAAACAATGGGCTGAATGGCCTTTTTCTGAACTGCAATGATTCTGAGATTCCGTGACCACCTCTGTGTTGCATTCCTTGCAGAACTTCTTCACCCGTTGATAGTCAGATCTCAGATAGTCAGGTCTAATATGCCAGCATTGTTTGTTAGGTCTTAATCCTATTCAAAACTCAGATCTACTAGACATTCCTGAGGTAATGTAATTTTAGTCTTGCTTTCAAAAATTTATTTTCATTGTTATTGTCTCTTCATACTGCTAAAGCACTTAAAATTCTGCGAGAGCAGTATAGAACATTCTAAGATACCTCTCTAGATCATGCCCTGTCAGTTTCTGAGCTCCAAATGCATATCAAGTTGTTAACCACATACAATTAGACATTTGGTCATCGGGCACAAACTTCAGATGAATGGGGAATAGACAAACTTAAATAGTGGCCCATTGTCCAAAAATCATTTGGCGAACATGGTAAATCTAGGTTTTTAAAAGATGGGTGAAACATGACTAGGGGATGGGGTGAGGTAGTGATAATGTCACTAGACCAGCAATCCAGAATCCCAGGTTAATGTTCTAGGAGACATGTGTTTGACTCCTATCCTGACAGATAGTGAAATTTGAAATCAAGAAAAATCTGGAGTAAAAAGTCAGGCTAATGGTAACCATAAAACCACTTCCAACAGTTCCTGAAAATAAAACCCACCTGATTCACTCATGCCCTTTAGGGAAGGACATATGCTGTTTTTACTTGGTCCCCCTACATGTCACTCCAGACCCACAGCAAAGTGGTTGACTGGGCAATGAGAAATTGGCAAGAAATGCCATCCTAGCCAGTAAGACAATTCCCACAAACGAATTAAAAAAAAACTATCATGCTGCAAATAGCTGCCTGTTACATAATGGATCAGGAATGCTGAGATCTCAGCCAACTATTGATGGTAAAGCATACCTGAAACATGGAAATCAGAACAAACCGTCAGGGCTCAGCTCCTATTACCATTAAATTTCGTGCAAGAAAGCCGCTGGCCCTGAAAGTCCATATATCAGCTGGTGGAAATTCCATTCTATGAGATTTGCAGTATGACCATGCTGCAAGTAGATGGATGGGTATGGTTGAGTGATACACCCCATCCACCACATAACTTATTAGGGACTGTCACTCCCTGCCCAGGCTTTAAAACTGCACTTGAATGTTGTCTAATGAAGAATTCATGACCACCTTTCTGGGCGAGAGGTTAAGCAGGGTCTCTGTGGGTTCCATTGGCACTTTCTAAAAATTTAAAGCTGCACCAGCACTTAATGGCCATCCTTAGCTGCATTTGAGAAGGTAGTGATAAGTTGCCTTCCAGATTCATCACAGCCCACATGGTGTACAGGTGCATCCACATTGCTGTGAGGTTGGGAGTTGCAGAATTCTGAGCCAGTGGACAATGAAGCAATGTTGCACATCTGGCAATGGAAACTTGGAACCAAATCCATCTCCATGACAAAGCTGCCTCGATACTCTGAGGCACGTGCAGCATGAATGCGGGCTTGGCTGGTTCAGTCTAGTAACCTGCAGGCACGGATTCAATAGTGAAGGTTGGTCATTTTCCCATTTGGCTCTAGATAAGCCGACAAATACAATTCTGGCCAGACAGAAAAAAAGGGAAGCTTCCCAGTGTTTTTTTTTACTGGCAGATCATGTAATTAGAAGCTAATTAAGCTGTCAGGTGCAATCAGATGTTCTGAGCCTTGGCTCTGCTAACATGCTCCTAAACTCTCTGGATTTATGTGAAATGGATACTGTATGAGAGCACAATTTTGGAAAAAAGACTGATTTTACCAGCAAAGGTTTCTCAGTACCTGTAAATTGATTTTTGATTCAGATAAAACAAGTGAAGTAGAAAGACGAGCTCACCACCACGGACACTTTGTGGTTTGCATCCAGTCGGCCTATCAGAGTATTGCCCTCCACATTGACGTCACCCTTTGGTTTAATAGGATGGGAGGCTACTCTATGGCAGTCCACAAATAGGCTGACAGTGTCCCTCTCCACGCCCACCAGGATCTTATGCCAGTCAGTATCAAAGACCTGTGAAACCCCTCGAAAAACGACTGTCTGCAGGTTGCTATCCAAGCCGACTAAATAAAACTCCAAGGACTGGGTGTTGCCATTCAGCCTCAGGCCTACTTGCTTGTAGCCGTTTTCATCCACAATCTGCCACAAGTTCCACACTTTATTAAGCGTGTTTTTTACCATCCGGAACGTGGTGACAAATGAATACTCTTCCGGCAGCCCTCGTGGGTAGATTACTCTGGAAGAAATTAAATGTCCACTTTACATTACATAGAGTAAAATTATTTAGTCCTTACAAAATGCATATTTGTGCATTTAACATGGTCAATGATTTCCTTTCTTTCCCTCCAGTTTCGAGATAGCAAGAACTGCAGATGCTGGAGTCAGAGTCAACACAGTATGAAGCTGGAGGAACACAGCAGGCCAGGCAGCATCAGAGGAGCAGGAAACGGTTCGGGACCCTTCATCAGAAATGGTGGGGGCATGGAGGGAGCTGGGAAATAAATAGAGGGAGGAGGTGTGGGGCTGGGGAAAGGCAGATGGGTTGGCGATAGGTGGATGCAGATAGGGAGTTTAATTGTATCTCATTATTTAGTAGCTCATGCTGACATACATTCTAATATTTATCAGACCAGCTTTTCTTTGAACGGATGGTGAAACACTGGTTACATTCTTGGGTGGCTATACATCAGCATAATGTCTATGAATATGCACTTCTACTGGAGATATCTGAACAATGCCTGCCATTTTCCCCCTTTCTAGCTCAGGATTTTCCTACCTTGTCGGAATTTCAAAGTTGGCCTCTCTGTCGAGTCTGAAGGCAATCTGAAGTGGTGTTGAACCTTCCACTCTCTTTACATCCCGTAGCGGAATGGTATCCAATTGGAATTGGGTAATGAGATCAAATCCTACGAGTGTGGGAATCAAAAAAAAACAGACAGGTTTTTGATTGCGTCTCTCTAACATCAGTCTGCCAATCTCATTAGGTGAGTTGTAGAACATATAAAAGGAATGTTTGGCATTACAACAATATATCATTACATTAACAGATGGGATTAATAATAAAATGAAAGCTTTGAAAGATGACGGTGACAGAACTGTCAGTCATCAAAAATGACTGGTAAGTCCTATGATTTGCAGCCTTTTAAAAAAATTTTTTCACGTAGGAAATCTAAATGACTGGTAAACTTGCAAATGACAAAACTCTTAAGCAATCCTGTGTTTGTACTGATCACTCATTGTCCCTCAATATAGGCCATAGTATTCCTCCAAGCTTGTCATTTTCCCATAATATTTAGCATCAACACTTATTCTGGGGTCAGCTTCAGTGTAGCATTTGTGGCAGGATGTTCAAATCAATCCAACTGAGACAAGGAGAGGGGAAAGATCAGTGACTGCTGCAGTCCTCACAACTGTAGCAACGAAGGGAGCTGCAGGTCCCACAGCAGCAGATATTGAGGTGTTTATACTGATGTATGTGTACCTCTTCAATTTTTTGTCATAGCCCGGACTGATACAAATGTTCACCCTTAGGTATGATAAAACAGTCGGCTGCATTTCCATGCCAAGTTCCTTTTAAAGTCTGAAAACTTGCCTGGCAAATCATCTTGTCCAATCCTGATATTAGGACACACAGTGTTATCATCCAGACCATTGTAGTTGAGTCTATCTTCCACTGCTGGATATAAGAAAACATAATCGGAGTTTTGGAGTGTACTTTGAATTTAACAACACAATGAGGAACTTAAATTCAGCAAAGTTGCAGAGTTATGAATCAGACTGATAAAGATTTGAGTTCTGCTATCACGATTTGATTATCTAATTCAGACTGACATTTCAGTATAGTTCTGCAGGCATTCTGCACTGTCAGAGATCCCATCTTTAGTCTGAGGCATTAAACCAAACCTAATCCTAGATCCGAGATAACAAGGTGTAAAGCTGGATGAACACAGCAGGCCAAGCAGCATCAGAGGAGCAGGAAGG